GCCCGGATCACTTCTGCATGACAATTGATGGGAGGGAGCGCGCGAGGCGAGGAGGGAGGACGGCTGCGGTGTCCGTTTTCTCACCATGGTGATTAGGCATTCCGGCCGCGCGAGGAGGCAGCCGCCGACCAGAACGGCGCGGCGTGGAGCGAGGACAGGGGAAGACAGCGAGAGCGGGAGCGGGAGCGAGCCCAGCCGCCGGGCGGGCGGCGGGCGAGCGGCGCGATGAGCCAAGCCAAGCCAGGCCAGATGGCTCTGCAGCCATCAGGGACTGCTCCCGTCCAGCCCGGCCCCACTTTAGCTGTGCAAACATTTCTTTATCCCAACAAGACAATTAAACCCAGCAGCATGAAAAGGAGTCTCCATGACTGTGCTGGGAGTGAACAACCAGAAACAACCACACATCACAGGAGTTCTTGCCCTCCATCCCCAGAGGGAGGAGAAAAGGGGCTCCGGGAGAAATTGGGGAGCAGCTGAGCGACAACTGGGCTAGCTCTGGGCAGTCAGTACGGAGGGAACCATCTGACCCATCTCCTCTGGTGATCTGCTGGCCCTTTCACGGTGGTCATCTGCTCCAGCTACAATCCAGAAGTTGAGCCTGGTGACCTGACAACTGTCCCAAACATTTTCCCCAGCAAGAGCAATTCTCCTAAAAGCCCAGGTCAGGGTCTCTGGCCACTCCAGTCCCAGAGTCCTTGGGAAGTATCCCCCTTAATACCACCCCCATGATGTAGCTGGGACTCCTCATTCCAGGCTGCCCTTGGGCCTATGTGGGCTCAGCTGATCTGATTGTTAGGACACAGGGTCTTCGATGATACATGCCTTTATAAAGACACATTCTCCCCCTGAGTACAAAATACCATCTCCTACTCAGGGCTTTTGGGGCTCAAGAATGACTTTTCAAATACATCAAAGATGAGAGCAAAGCAGAACATCCAGGAACTGCTGTGAGCCACCCCGTTTCCTGCCTACCTGTGAATCTGCCTGACACAGGCAAGGGCCAAGGGAACAGAGCCACTCTAGGGTCAATGCCCAGTGCTCATCCCTGAGATGAATCAGAAGGCAGGGCCAGTCATTGCTCCAACTGGGACAGTTCTTGTTCCTTTCAGCCCTTTGGTGAACATGCATATAGCCAACTCCAATTTGGGCTGACTGAGTGGAATGACTGGCAGGCTGCCCCCCCCCCCAAAAAAAACCCAAAACAAAACAAAACAAAAAAACCCAAAACCAAAAACCTGTATGACCCAGGCAGGAATCTGGGCCCAGGGATGGCCAACAGAGTACAAGGAAATACACATGATAAGAGCCAGGGTGCTAAGGGGGTAATAAATGTATAGATTCTAGCACAAGGCAGCAGACAATACTTATCTTCCCTTTTGTTGTAAAGTTTCCTTAATGAGGAAATGTTTATTTTAAAAGCCCTGGGAAACATATCTGTAGACACTTCATATGTAAGACACACGTGGACTATTCGTAATTGGTCCATAAATTTTAGCATCATTTCCCTGGACAAGAAGCCTTGGAGACTGGTTCAGGGAGTGACAATAAACAGGAGTTACCTCAGTTCCCTTCCTGGGGAATTACGCATCCTCCATGAACGGCTTCTCACAAAACACTTCTCCTTTTCTCCAGGGCAAATAAGTCAGTCCTGTCGAGTAAAGGCTTCTTTTTTTCCATAGAACCCAACACCTACCTCACGGATCACCTGTGATGCCAGGTAGGTGAACAGGCAAGAACTGGAAATCATCTACTAGGAGAGACAATACTTTACCCAAATAGCTACATTTTGGTCTACAAAAATGCATATTTAATTACAAAAGAAATCCTGCCTATCAGCACCCAGATTTAAGGAAAGAACACATGTGCATTACACCATGTCTGCAGGCCCCTCTTTCAAATGCTCTCACATGTGGACATATCTGCATATGGATGCAGTGTGCGAGCAGGGGGTGGCTGCGACAGTAAAAATTGTCAGTGTTTCCATTGTAAAACTGATTTTTCATTGACCTCTCAGTCATAAAACTTCTACTCTAAGGAAAGGACACACACACACCCCCCCATACTCAGCCCCCCACCCCCGAAAAAAAAACCCTTAAAGCTAAGTGCCTATTTAGGAGTTTTACTGTTGAATTTAATTAAACCATTTTTTTTTTTTTACATTTTACGAGAAAAATTTATTTATATGAAGAGAACTGAAAAATAAGTCAACCACATCAGAAATTAACTCTAAATTTTAAGAATAAAAAACTAGAATATACATAGTTAATTTTGGCAATCTGACCAAAAGCCACTGCATCCTATTCCTTTGCTCTTTTGAACACTTTCTATCCTCTCTCTTCTCCCCACCCCCCTCACTGCCCCATCTGCCCCTTAAGCTCTCCCTTTGGAAGCAGTCTTGTACACTGTCACTCGATTATCTGAGAAATATTACTTATTTCAAAACGGTTCTGTAGGGAGGACCTGAAAGGCATCTAGTGGGAATAATCAGGCCTTCTAACGGCCCTTAAATATGTATTTACATAAAACAGACCATAAATATTCCGACACACGTCGGCATATGACAGGAGCCAAGAAAGCTGCTGCAGACTTTGTCACAGTGCCTCTTCAACCCTTCCCCACAGAAAAATGTTTCTCCCGCCTTCCAAAAACTCAAACTCAAAAGCACAAATGCTACCCAGTACAGCCCTGGGAAGGCTGCTCTGCCACCTAAGGAAAGAAAAGGAGGAAGGAGCCCAGATCCAGGGCTATCACAGCCTAAGAGACTCCTCTTCACTTTGCACCTTTGTTTCTTGTTAAAGATTAGTCACAAATGCTACTCTAGATAATAATGTGGTTGTGCAAAACATCCTACACTCATAGACACGCCTATAGGTTTTATGTTTGGGCAAGAGAAAAAAGAGAAGACAAAGTACTCTCTAAAGAAAGAATATTTTAAGCAAATAAAAGGGTTCCAATTTCTATAACACTACAGTTTGAAATAAAGAAGTTTCCCCACTCTTCTGATCAGAATCTCATTAATTTCAAGGTCAGAACTCCATTTCACTTTGGGAGATAGACTCATTTAATTTTTCTCCACCCAGGCGTATTCCTGCGTGAGGGATCCATCTCTATGGGGGATGGCACCACCACACAATGCAAACCAAGCAAACAGAAGAGTTATGGCTTTGACACTCGGAGGGGGAATGGATAGACACATCTATGAGTTCTGACTTGACTAACAAGCTTCTTCCTGCTCTGGGGGTCTGACACAGGTTTGGGCTAAAAAGAGAGAAAAATGGAGACCAGCCGGATCTGTTGAGTGAGAAGAAAGGAATCTTGATCTCCAGATGTTACTTTGCAGCACCGTTAGGTTTGAGAGGTTTGCATCTTCAACTTGTATTTGGAGCAAAAAGGGGCAGAATCCGTCGCACTCTCACCCAGGCCAGCTTTAGCCAGAGGTCAGATTACAGCTTGCCTCCATCACCTGCACGCTGACAAATGAAAACTGCACTAAAATGAAACACAACAGATCCAACACAACGCCAGTGTCTTCAGCAGGTATACCGGGAAAGCAAGATGGTAATGCACACGTCAGCTGTCCAGAAGGGGAGACAGAGGAAGAAGAGCCCAAGCAAAGTGAGAGAACACACGGGCACTCGTGCTGGCAGCTTGTCCCTGAAGTGGGGAGGTCTCGGGCTTACAGACGCTGACATAAAAGACACACTTGCTACATATTTCAAAACCAAAGAGCGATGGATTTACAAGGCAGGTTGATTTTATGATGACTTTTATTGAAAAGGTACGCTGGGTTTAGGCAGATGCCTTTTAGCGCAGGAAAGTTAACACAGTGCCTAATTCAAGGAGACAGCCTGAGGAAGCAGTGCCGACGGGAGAGAGCGGCAATGTCTCTATTACTCTCCTCGGCATCATAAAGAGAAGAGAAAAAAAAATGGTATTCGTGTTGGTGGTTATAGAGAGGACAGGAGCACAAAAAAATAGAGAAGAGGGGAAAGCAAACCTCAGATGTAGTTTTCTTAAGAAAATAAAATGAAGCAAATCTTAGAACAAAGGGTTGGGTGGAAAAACACCCTCAGTTCATAAATTCTCACCAGGCTTGAAGAAAACTGCTCTGCCTACCCATAGCCCAAAAGCGTCAGAACACAATTATTTTCTGATTCTATTAGAGGAGAAGACTGCAGGGTTCAGCACTCCTGGTCTACAAGTTCCAAATAAAGGTTTAGTTCCAACTATTAGCGAGGGTCACCAAAGCTCAACGAGGCACTGGGAGAACATGAGAAAACTGTTCCATAAGCAGAAATTAATAATTGTTGTGAACATCAAATATGGAGCAGTCACACAGGTCAACCGTGTCTAGTCCTAAAAGTGAGCCCCAGGATAAGCATCCAGCAAACCTGTTAAATCCCAAGAGAAGCCGGCTTTCTAGCCTTGCGATCGCAAGGAAAACACAGCTGTTTGAAATGCTTTATGGTGATTGACGACACCTTTGTCCTTCTCTGAAAAATAGCCTCATGTGGACAAGGGCTGAGAGTTGGGAAAATAAAATCACGTGGAGTCCACTGGATGTGATACAATGGAAAAGCTAAAAAAAAAAATGCTCAGAGAAATATAATGAGGATAGCAAAGAGAGGAGGGATGGATGAGTTTCTTCAGGCCCCCCAAATTTCCTAGGAACCTACACTTTCTAATAAAATGACATTCACTCCAGTATATATATAGCACCCCTCTTCACTCCAGAATCCCAGAGAATAAGCCAATCGTGCCCCAGGGAGAGGCAGCGTGGAGCCAACTTGCTTCTGGATACCTTCAGAAAAACATGTCCTCCCGGAACTGTCAATGCTCATCGACAAGAGACAAGTAAATGTTAGCACTCCGCAGCCATTGAGCGGGAAGTACCTGGCCCTCCCCATTTCTAGGAGCATGAAAACTGCCAGCGACCTGTTGAACACTACTGTGAGGCAGGGTTTGCCGGGGGTAGGGAAGGCTCACACCAAAGTACTTACATCTGTCATTCCGATCCTCTGGGCTAGAAGAGGCTTCCCGATCCGAAATGAGGCCAGAGACAGCAAAAATCTTCTTCCCAGTATCGTCAACCTTAAGTGAACCGGGGGAGCTAGATGGCAGCTGTGTCCCAAAGTCATATTCCTTGCCATCTGCATCTGAGAAGCGCAAGTGGGGAGACTCTGTGTCATGGCAGTTCTTAAGTCGCTTGGCCGGCGTGAAGGCTGACTGATAACTCTCCCGGTCCTCCGTGGAAGCGAAGGGACGGAAAGCCCCCACTCCGCTATGATTTAGCATACTGATTGGGGTGCAATCTAGATTTGGGGGAGCAAACTGAGGGTGGAGGTGTAGTAAAGAAGGGGGAAAATCACGATTGGCAAAAGTGCCTGGCACCCCACCTTGCCGATGGTACATAGAGGCAAAGGTGTAGGAACCGTTGGTGAAGGGAATATGCACGTCCTTGTCTACTGAGACAGGTACACCAAAGGGTCGTGGCTGCTGACACGGGATGGAAGCATCGCGGCTGGCCTCAGCCGTGGACGCCAGGACCATCAGTGCTGGGGATGCCAGCGGGTTGGGGAGGTAGGATGAGTTCTCCATCTTGAAGGCTGCCCGGTGTAAGTCCATCGGAGTCTCTTTCTTAGGCTCGTGTCACACAAGAAGCAGTCTTCCCTGGGAGGGAGGCCGAGCAGCACCTTGGATCAGGGCAGGGGATATTACTGGGGAATCATCGCCTTCTAAGACCTGCGGAAACAGCAAAGAGAAAAAAAGAGGGGGGAGGAAGGTCAAGGGGGGAGGAAAAAAAGGGAAACCCCAAGTGATCGAAACACCATCCTTCTGGCTTACAGATGCTCGGGCAAGAGACACCACAGGCTTTAGGAGCCAGTGGGCAGCAGCATCAGACCATTTTCATTCAGGAAAATCAATAGACAACTTACTGTGATGTACGCGTAGCTGACTTTGGTCCCTACACGTTCCGGGTGAAATGCGCCTGAGCCCAGCAAAGGAAAAAAAATCATAAAACCTCCAAATACAATATTCCCTGAGCAAATGAGCTTTGGAAGGCCAAGTCACCCAGTAGATTAGGTGGGGTCTATATTTTAAAGGGTTTCCACCTGCACACACCTCTCATGGCAGCCCTGATGTTCAAACAGAGGCAAGGTTCTACCTATATGACCCCCCACAAACACATTCTCTCTTCATCTCCCCTGACAACGCCCTGGTGCTGAAAAATTCCTAAATCAAGCACATCTAGACCATCTGTACATGCTAGTTGGTATGAATTGTACGTGTGGATAAATCACACACATTGGCACATACATCAACACACATCTTCATGTATCATCTAAGGCTATTTCCAGAAAAAAGTGCTATGTGAAGAGACAACAGCAATATTATTTTTGATGCACGCCCCTCTCTAATCATACAGGTTTCCTCTTTTCTGAGAAGGAACAAAACCTTCATCAGTAAAATGCCTGGCATCTCCGACAATATTTAACACCATAACGGGTGCCTTTGGCATATGTTCTCTAGAAGCGGCTGTCTTCCAGGGGCAGCAAAGAACGGATCGGTAATTTTAGTTACTAATGCACTCGCTCTTAAGTAGATTTGTAAACAGCCTTGAATTTGCCATTAACATTTGGAGCAAAATGTTAACAAAATTTCTGACTTATTTTGCTCTGCTTATTGGGCCCAGTCAGAGTTGATGTCTGATAAAGGCCCCTGGAACAAATTGGAGTTGGGAGAGACTTCCTTCAATTTCCCTTTTAAATTTAGGTTGTACATTTCCATAGCCGCTGATTCCATTTCAAAATTTATTCTGAGTCGGGGGTTGGGGGAGTGGGAGAAGGGCTATATATCAAAAGTCAGGATAACATAAGAGGAATACTAGAATTTATTAGCTTCAAAAATATACACTAGATAGAAACTTAATGAAACTCAAAGTGTAACCAAAAATCACCATCTGCTACAAATTATAATCTTTAAATCGAGTCATAGCTCAAATGAGATTTTGCCCCCTCCCTTAAAAAAAAAAACACCTAGATAATGGAGTATCTTTGGTATTCCCTCAAATACAGAAGCCTCAGTTAAACTGTAGATGAATCCCCTTGGCTTAATGCAGTGCAAAGAGAGTATTTCCTTCTCTCATCCTGTAGCAGACGTGTCAATGACTGTTATTAATTGGGAAGATGAGTGCACACCATCAGACTGCTTCCTCATTTGGCATCTCTCCTTATAGACATCATTGCTAAATTACCAGATTATGTATCTCACATTAACGGATTTTTCTCTCTTCCAAATTTTAAATAACTTTCCTGTCAAGTTATAGCAGTGCAGGGAATGATCTGCCAAGGACAGCCAGTTAGCCTGACAAGTCTGGTCTGGGAATCCTGTTCTTGGCTGTTTTCAAGTCAGATTAATGGTCACATAACATGGACGCTCTAAAGTGGGTCCAGGGCTGTTCCAAGGGTTCTAAGCAGCTCTTCATAACAGAAATAACTAACTACTTGTCTCTCAAGCAATATCACACGAGGCAAGCAGGAGAAAAGGACAAACATAATACACTAGGGGTGGGGGTGGGGATAAAGGGTGGAATGTTGTCCCCCCAAATAACCAATTGCCCAGAGAATTCACTTTCTATTTTTACTTCCTGGGTCACCTCATTATGTTAAATGAGTTTCATAAATTAGTAATCTGGCGACAGCACCAGACACTCCAACAGAACACGGTGAATCACTCAAACCTGGTTATTCATTTGAAACTTCATTATACTGAAAATAAATCAACAATATTTTTCCAGGCCACATCTCTTTTACTCCACTGTGTGGGCGTTGGTCTCTGTGGGGGAAGGGGGAGTGTGTTTTTTTTCTTTTTCCTTTTCTTTCTTACCTCCTCCTCATACTAACAACTTGTATAGATGAGGCTTCAGCAGACCACAGTCATTATGAAAATCTATAGTTAATACACTCCCAATGTCAAAATGTCATGGGTTTAAACACAGAACCCAAAATAAGAAAACTAACTGACCCTCTTAATTAAAAAAATATGGATTGTAAGATAATCAGCTTGATGGAGCATTTGGGTGACTGTAAAGAACCAGGCAAAGGGAGAGTAAGTAACTGTTACTTTTCTGCCTCTATGCTGATTTTTTTTTAATTTAGCACTTCGTGCAAATCCAGATTAAAATAACTCCAGCTATTGATCCGAGCAGTGGAATTGACATTAATTTTAGTTCACTTCTCACTTTGCAAAGGGATCAATAGGAAGTAATAACAGCTGACATCCCCGCTGAAAGGAGGAGAAAGAAGGGCTGAAGACAGAAATCGAAAAGCAACCAAATAAATCATCAGCTACTTTTCCACGGCATCAGACAAACTCCAAACAGATTGCAAAAAGTCTTTGTTGAATTAACTAAACAAGGAGGAGGGATCAATCCACGAAGCTAAATAAATTGTCTGGCAAGCAGTGAGATTGGACGGAGGAACCAACAAATATTGAGTTTAAAATTTTTCAAATCCTTGATGTGATGGGTTTGGTTCAGGTCTGTGTGGGTGGGAGTTTGTTTGCTTGTTAAATCACACACCCGACCCTGGTTTAAAGTGATTACAAAACGCCAGCTAACTGAATAATTAGTGAGATTACTAATTGCGTGGTTAAACATGCCAGAACCAAGACAAATGAAACGAAGAAACTGGCGTTTGGAACGTGAAAATGTCTGAAGCTGAGCTGATGCGCAGCGCTCCGCGCTCTCCGGCGCGAACTAGCCACTTTCGCATTGAAAAACCGAAAGCCAGAAAGAAAGTCTCAGAGAGTGGGCAATCTCCCACCCCGGCCTCTGACCATCCCTGTCCAGGGTCTGGGCTTCCTGACCCGCGCTGGGATCGGCGTAGAAGGAAGCGGCGCTGCTGCTACTGCAGCTGGGAGCCAAACCCACTTGCAAATGACTGCCACAAAGAAAAGCTGCAAAGCCTCTTTCCCGGAGCCCTAGCTCTGAACGCCCACCAAACTACGACTCTGCTGGCAATTAAAACGCACACACAACACTCCTCTGCTTATTACAACAGGTGACATTTTTGTGGTCTCTGAATAGTTTCCAAAAGCCAGGAATTAAAATAATAGAACAAATTAAACGATATTTTTCCTTTGCATAAATAAACTTTTAAAAAATTAACAGGCAACTTAAAAAGCAGAGAACAATGGGAAATGGGGCCAGGGTAGTGGGGGGTTGTGAAGAACTCAGGAAAGAAATTTTTTTTTTTTTTAAAGTTCACAGACTTCTTCGCTTGAAGAGAATTCCCGCACACCAAATGCCCAGGGGGTATTTGGAAACACCGCTCTAACAGAAATTTTACCACCATATGCAAGAGCTCAGGAAGCATAAGCTTAACACTATTCCAAAGGCTGGGGCCAACGCCTGCGATTCAGACGTGGCCGGGTATCGGTCCCAGATTTGGACCCCGACCCAGACCGGGCTTGGCCAACGGGTGCAAATCCTAAATAGCCGGGCCTGTCGAAGGGTGCAGGGCTGCGGGGCTGCCAGCTCAGCTAAGCGGGTGCAAAATTCAACCGGTAGGAGTCTTAGCCAGGGAAAAGCAACTCTTTTAGGGAAAACGGAGGAAGAAGAGGTGAAGGCGAAACCTGCAAAAACTTGGGTCCAACGCAGGGCCGAGCCCACCGCTCCTTGGCCTGACCTCTCCCTCCAGCTCTCGGCTGCCATTGCACAAAGAATACTTTAGGTCCCAACAACCTCCGCACGAAACAAGCTGCTTGTAACTTTGGGGAACCAGGGCGCCGGCCAGGGAAGAACCGACAAGTGCAAGGAGCCCAGGTCCACAGCCGGGCAGGGCCCGCCGGACAGGGGCTGGGGGAAGGCTGCCTTCGATCAAAGTCCAAGGACCTCGTGCCCCTGAACAACCCCGCCCCGCGGGTCACCCGGGTCTCATCGCCGCGCGCCACCGCTTCGGCGGGCAGCCACCGGGCTCATGGATTCTGGCGCTCCCGTAAGTGCGGGCCGGCGCGGGGCAACCGGGCCCTCCCGGTTCCGGGACTGCGGGCCTAGGGTGAGGGAGGGAGAGTTCTGCCTTTCGCGCCGACGCCGTCCGGCCGCCGCACACGACGCAGCTCGCAGAACAGGTGTGTGTCCCCGCTCGCTGGGCGCCCGGCCCCGTCGGTCACCAGCGGGGCGGCGCCGCCCTGTCCTCGGCCTTCCCCCACCTCGCCCCGGATCGCAGCGAGCGAACTCACGCCACTTTTGCCGGCTTTCCGCGGGCCAGGAGGGATGGGAACGGAGGACTCCCGCATCTCTTCCTCGACGCTCTTTCTGCCTTCCCCCCTCGGCTCATTTTCCATTTTCCGCAAGAACCCCCGAGACCCGCAGAGGAGGAGGCCGGGCATCCCTGGCCGCTCTGCTCCCTCCAGTCTGACCCGCCGTTTCCTCACTGCCCGCCCCCTTTCCCCCCCTTTATTTTTCCCTTCTTTTCCCTTTGCCTCTCAAGCCGAGTCCGGAGCGGGGTCTGGAGGCCAGACGTGGCTGGTGGGCACCGCGGGCAGAGAGAGCCCGAGTCCTCCCTCTCTGCTGTTCCTGGGGCAGGGAGGCGGCACAGGCCACAGACCCCGGACGGCCCAGCCCGGCCACGCCAGGCAGGGATGAACCCCACACAGAGCGCCCCCGCCCCATGCACCCACCCGGTGCGACGCGCGCCCGGCTCGGGGCCCGGGCCCTGGCCCTCCGCTGGAGCCACGGCCAGGGCCCAAAAAAAGCAGCGCGTTCCGAACGGGAAACGAGAGCTTTTCCTCTGCCTCCGGGCAGCCGGAGCCCCCGCTACTTCGGGGCTCCCGCGCGCCCTCGCCGGCCGGGGTCCACCTGGGCCTCGAGCTCTTGGAGGGGCTCTTGGAGCAAAGGACGGACCGGGCATCCCCTCGGATGGTCTCACCGCCGTAGGCGGCCGAGCCCGGGGGGCCACACGGAAGCTCTCCGCCCAAGTTTGTTGTGCCCTGGAAGAAAAGGCTTTCCCTTACAAAGCACAAAGGCGAAACGCCCAGGCCGAGCCCTGAAAAGCCCGGGGCTGGGGAGGGGGACCGGCCGGAGGCTCGGGACCGCGGTGGCGGGGCCCGGCTCCGGGCGGAGAAGGTCGCTCCGCAGGGGCTGACGAGCACGGCGGCGGTGGCCGCAGGACTGCGGCGACCTGCGTGCTCGCTGAAAAGTTTTGTTCTCAAGTCGGAGAAAGAGAAATTGTTACTCAGTTTAAGGCAGGTCTAAGATTAAAATAAAACTACAAAAAGAGCCACGCGCGGCTGTCTATACGGCGGTCCTCCCGCCCGGCTCCGTACGACCGCGGGGCTAGAGTCCCGACCCCGAAAATCCCGGGAGACCCCCCACGGGTCCGGCTGCTCTAAGGCCAGGCCGGTCCAGCCGGGCGGAGCAGGGAGTTTACCGGTCGCGTTTAGAACGGTCCACCTCAGTGCCAGCACCTGCCTCGTTCCTGCGCGCCGCGACTCCCCCCCACCCCACCTCCACCGCCCTCCACGCCCTTCACACCCGCCCCCGCTGGGAAAAAGTGAGCCGAGCACCCGGGGGCCCGAGGCTCCCAGCGGTGCGCGGGTACCCCACCCGGCCGGTGGTGTGCTGTGTGGGGGCGGTGGGGAGCCTCCCCACTAGGATCTCCCCTTCCCCATCCTGCCCGCCGCCTCGGGCTCCCCACTGAGCACCGCCCGGGCTGGGCCCTGCCGGAAATCACCGCGGGGTACGCGGGGGAGCCCGGCGACAGGGCTATCTCCCCATCGACCCAAACAAAGTGGGAACGGGGCTTATTAAAAGATGGAGAAAAGAAGTCCTGCTCCCCCCTTCCCTGGCTGTCCCCTCACCCTCCCTACTTGTCCAATTCCCGCGTCTGGTCCCTCCCCCTCGCACCCCCCAAATAAAACACATTAAGGAAAACTCAAGACGGAAAGTTTGAGCGAGGCAGCGCGCGGAGCGCGCAGGGCACCGATGCCGGAAGGCACCGTCGCGGAGATCTGAGACGCGCCAGCCCGGGTCCCAGCCCCTGCCCCGGTCGGGGGGAGCGGCCCGAATCCCTAGGAAACGGACCCGGAAAGTTAGTCAGGTTCCCGAGCAACCCGCCGCTCTCGCACCCACCCCTCTGTGTACGCGCACACACCCACACCCCTTTCTGGTCTCCATACTTGCCGTGGAAATTCCTTGGGAGAACGGTCGCACTTTTCAGGACACGGAGGGAAGGAGGCGGTGAGTGTGGTGCATGAAAAGTCCCGGGTGCGCAGAGCCGGCGGAGGCAGCGGCGGCGGCGGCGGCGGCAGCGGCAGCAGCAGCAGGCGGCTGGCCCCGGGTTTGTGTTCGCGAGCTGCCTGGGATTGCATGTACAGATCAAGAGACTCGGTTGGTGTGAGAGAAGGAGCAGTGCTGCCTCTCAGCGCTGGCTCTAATCAGTGAATGAGCCTCCACTCTCCCAGGGACTCGGAGACACACACACACACATACACACGCGCGCGCACACACACGCACACATTCTCTCACACTCACACACATACAGGCACTCTGAGCACTGAATACATTAGGGCACTAAGGGACTCTGGGAAATGGAGTCCAGACCCAGGGCACTCCTGGAGAACAGACCTGCTGGCCCTCACGAAAGAGCTCGAAAGTCTTGGGGTCGCCGGACACTGTGGTAACTGAACAGAGCTCTTGCTTTTGTTCACATTTCCCCCTCATCACACCCCCCTCCCCCACCCCGAGAGATCTCAATGGATGGTTTGGTGCTCTTCTTCCTTTCTTGAACCAAAAGACTGAGAGTAAATGGGTAAATCTTGAAGGCTGACACCCACAGCAGCTGGATGCCCCCCAAATCCTGGCTCCCTCATGAACTCTGCCTTTTTCCAGAAAAATCTTACCTACTGCTTTGTTCCTGGAATGCTTCTCAGGGTCTTTGCCTATAACAATAAGATAACAGATGAATATAAATAAAACTACAACTTTTAGAGATGGTGGAGAGGGCCTAGTTTAGCACCCAGAATCAAGAATTAAAAATTTTATTGGTATTTATATTGCAGTTCTTTTTTTCAAATCATTTTATATCATTTTTTTTTTAATTCACCAAGGACAGAAAGATAAATAGGGGGAAATGGATGGAGAACTAACATTCCCTGAGTGTCTTCTAAGAGCCAGGTTACAGGACTAAATGCCTTTACATAACCTCATTTAATCCTTAGATTAATTCTGGAGACAATATTATCATTATTTTATATATAAAATAGGAAACTGAGGTTGAAAGGGTTTTTGCAATTTGCCCATGGAACATGGTTAACAAGTCTAGGATAGCAGGTACTCCTAGCTCTGAAAGCAAAGCCCAACCAAAATCTAATCCTGGTTTAGGAAATCATTCCTTTGTTTATGGCTCAGTTTCTGAAACCTCAGATTTCCCATCTGAAAAAAAAAAACGGGGGGGGGGGGGGTTGGGTACATACTGATAATCCACTCAGCAAAGAACCACATAGGATTACAAACTGTCTCTCTAAAAACACAGAGCCCTCAGAGTCTCATTCTTGCTATTACTGCACGGTCCTTGTTTCTTATGTTTAACATTAAGGTAGCATCTACACGTCATGTATGTTTAGGTGTACACGTGTGGCTTGTATTTCAAATTCTTAATTAGCAACTCTTTAAGTAAATGGTTGATTTGATCAATCAGGAGTTCTATGGTTATGACTCTTTCTGTATCTGTAATTCATGGGATTAGGGTTGTTTAGGAGCCTCCAAGTCTTAATCCACATTTAGTCATTCATTCACAGCAGCATGTATTGGATTAGGTGCTATTCTTCCCATTAGATTATTCTTTCCTGCTGGACTGTAAGCTTCCTGAGGGCAAGAGCCATTTTTGTTTTATTCAACATTATATCCTCAGTATCTAACAGTGGCAATCTTTTAGTTGAACACATACATGAGGATATAAAAACAAAATGAACAAACAAAATTTCTGCCCCCAAAGAGCTCACCATCTGGTAGAGGAAACTAGAAGTAGAAAACAATTTGATGGCTGCTATAATTGGGATGACCGTGTAATATATTGGTGTGAGACAAGTCTGATAGTGAAAAGGAGCACTATTAGTAATTATGCTGCGATGGCCGGTGTGAACAGGGACTGTCCTCAGCTGAGCAGTTTGAATGGTCACCCCAGCTCTAAGGGGGTGTTTCATTCATTCATTTAACAAGTATCTGTTGAGAATTCTCTTGTGTGATATGTTGAAAGAATTATAAGCCACTTGATTTCCCTAGAAATTGAAGTATGAGGCATTGAGCAGCAAGAGATAATCAGGACAAGTACGGCAAATCACAAAAGGCTATGTATACTAAGTTAAGGAAAGTGGACTTTATCCTACAACTGATGAGAAACCCCTAGAGGGTTTTTCAGGGGTGTGACATGGTAAGATTTCTGCTTAAAAAGAGTACTAGTTACTGGGTGAGTGTGGTAGAGGTTAGACAGGAGGCAGGAAGACCAGTTAAGAAGTTTATGATAGGTAAGTCGGTTGGGATCTAGTAGGGCCTGAACCAAGGTACGGAGGCAGTGAATGGAGAAGAGGGGACACATTGCGGTGAGATCTAAAGGTAGGATCAACAGGATTTAGGGGTGTCTGGCTGGTTCAGTTGGTAGAACATGTGACTCTTGATCTTGGGGTTTAAGTTTGAGCCCCACATTCGGTGTAGAGATTACTTAAAAAAATAAAATTAAAAATAAAAAAAGATAGGGGTGCCTGGATGGCTCAGTCAGTTAAGCCTCTGACTCTTGATTTCAGCTCAGATCTTGATCTCAGGGTCATGACTTTGATCTCAGGGTCGTGAGTTCAAGCCCCCTGTTGGGCTCCACGCTCAGCGTGGAGCCTACTTAAAAAAAAAAAAAGACAAAAGGATTTAGCCACTTTCTGTGGTAAATGAAGCAGAAGGAAGACCCTATATAAATCTGAAATAGGATTTTATTATTTATAGGACAAGATACTATCAGTACTTTAATGTTCATTAGTAGCAAAAGGCTTCCTCAGATCAGCTTCCAGAGTTCTCATAAATCCAGTGGACATTCTCACAGGTAGATGATATAGATAAGAAGCCCTATGTCAATCATCAAGCCAAATATTTTTAACTGCTACCATATTCAGTGCTCTGTACTATGATGCAAGTACTTAAGAATTAGATGAAATAGGGGCACCTGGGTGGCTCAGTCGTTAAGCGTCTGCCTTTGGCTCAGGTCATGATCCCGGGGTTCTGGGATCAAGCCCCACGTCGGGCTCCCTGCTCGGCAGGAGGCCTGCATCTCCCTCTCCCACTCCCCCTGCTTGTGTTCCCTCTCTCGCTATATCTCTCTCTGTCAAATAAATAAATAAAAATCTTTAAATTAAAAAAAAAAAGAATTAGATGAAATAATGAAAAAATTAAATCCACAAAATCATAGCAAAATTATATAATGCAAAATTGAATATGTAATACCTCATGAATTCACGGGTCATTGTCCAGCAACCTCAGGTATCCAAAACACAATGGACCAGGAAATAAGCAAAAAGGGCCCCTGAATAACCAAAATAAACATTACAAAGTCCTTGCACTAAAGTTAACACATTTTACTCCTAGGAGAATTCCTCAAGCCTTCACTCAGAGCCGATTTACTCTTTCTTAGGTACAATTCTAATAAGCTTGATTATTTGGCTTTCCCATTCACAGCTGATTAAGATCGTCAAATTAAAAGGGGGCAGCCATTAAAAAGAAGGAGATAGACTTGGATGTACTGACATGCAAGAATATCTATTGTATATTGTCAAGTGGGAAGAAAAGCAAGTCGTATAATAGTGTACAGCGCACATAAAGTGACTGGATATTTGTATGTACCCAAGTATGCACACATATCGACAGAAATGACCTATAGGGACATACATTAAACTGCCAACAATAGTTATGCCAGGGAGTGGGAGTGGGGATGTGGGTGGGGGGGAGCAGGAATGAAGAAGGGACTTTTTGCTTCAAATGCTTCTGTTTGTGTTTCAGTGAACATATATTAGTTTTGTAATTTTAGTATCCATTAAAAAGCATATAAAAGGAGTAAAGGGCAATGTGGTTAGAGCAAGCATACCCACAGCCAGAAGCGGTGACCAATATACAAGAAGCGAGCACGAGAACTCAAAACCAGAAGAGGATGGAGTTCTCCAAACCAGCATAACCCTAATAACTTTTCAGGGAAAAGTCATCAAGGAACACATTATGCTTAGTATATTTTACTTAAGAGAGCAAGCAAGTATGTAAAAACTTAGAAAAATAAATTCCCACCCAAAGCAGATTTTGATACTTTAGGAAGTAAATTTCAGTTGTCTGGAAAATACACATTCATGGAACACATCATTCCCTGAAAATGAGAAGTAAAGGAGATATTACTTTAGGTAAGAGCAGAGGTGATGCAGAGTAAGGAATGGTCCATATAAATAACATTCAACAGACATTTATTGTGCCAAACACTAAGGACACAAAGATAAATTTTAAAATAGCCTAGCCCTCCTACACTGTTGTGGGGAATGCAAGCTGGTGCAGCCACTCTGGAAAACAGTATGGAGGCTCCTCAAAAAGTTGAAAACAGAGCTACCTTACGAACCAGCAACTGCACTACAGGGTATTTACCCCAAAGACACAAATGTAGTGATCCGAAGGGGCACCTGCACCCCAATGTTTATAGCAGCAACGTCCACAATAGCCAAACTATGGAAAGAACCCAGATGTCCATCAACAGATGAATGGATAAAGAAGATGTGGTATATATATACAATGGAATACTACTCAACCATCAGAAAAACCGAAATTTGCCATTTGCAACGACATGGATGGAACTAGAGGGTATTATGCTAAGCGAGATAAGTCAACCAGAGAAAGACAATTATCATATGATGTCACTGATATGCGGAATTGAAGAAACAAGACAGAGGATCATAGAGGAAGAGAGGAAAAAATGAAATAAGACGAAACCTGAGAGGGAGACAAACCAGAAGAGACTCTTAATCTCAGGAAACAAACTGAGGGTTGCTGGAGCGGAGGGGGGTGGGAGGGATGCGGTGGCTGGGTGATGGACACTGTGGAGGGTATGTGCTATGGTGAGCACTGTGAATTGTATAAGACTGATGAATCACAGACCTGTACCCCTGAAACAAATAATACATTATATGTTAATAATAAAAAAATTTTAAAGTAGTCCATCCCTGCCCTAGAGAAGCTTACAGTTCCAGCAGCAGAGATAAATGAGGAAGCAGCTAGTGAGCAGTGCTGTGCAATGTGAGCAATGCTGTAATGGAGATTCTGAGTAAAGGATGGTGGGAGGCGCTCACTCTACCTGGAGCTACTAGGAAAGAAGGCAGGGACTGAAGTGGGTGT